CCCCCCCCCCCCACTGCCCCGGCTCACTGTGGGTTTTATCTGGTGTCCAAGTTTCCCGAGTGGGCAAATTCCCTGGCGCTGCCATCCCTGCCGGATCTGCGCTGCGTGGCCTGGCAGTGACTGACGTGACCCTGGGGATGGAAAGTGAGAAAAACTCTCCCTGGTTCCTATCAGTTCCCCCTGGGAAGCAGCGGCTGGGGAGCAGCAGGGCCACGCAGCGAGGTGTGACAGTGAGGACGCAGCCAGGTCCCCTGTTCTCTGCCCTGCTCCCTGCCCTGCCCGCTCCCTGCCAGCCATGTCGGGCACCAGCTGCATTCTGCCGAAACATCACCCCACGCTCCCCCGCGGCAGTTTCGTGCTGTGACAGGTGTTGGGAGACACCAAACCAGCACACCTAATACATCTTTGCTACAGGCAGTGAGTTCTTCCGTGCCTGTGGGTGCCTTCACCCCCAACACCGCAGCTCCCATGGGTGTAGCTGCTCCTGGGGAGTCCCCGTTGCAGCCAGAGGGGCCCAACTCTTCCCTTCCAGGGTTGGTGCAGAGCCCTGGTACTGTGGGACCCAAAGGAAAATCTGCAGGTGAGGGCAGGGCAGAAAGAAAATTGGGTGTGAAAAATACCCCAAGGAGACCTGGGTCTGCAGCTCCTTCCCATCCTAGTCTTGGTCACATCCCTGTGCTCAGCACAGCTCACTCCGGCACCCTGCCAGTCCTGTAAATCCTGTCCTGCGCCAGCCCAGCCAGGATCCAGACTGGATCCAGTCCACGGAGCTGACACTGGATGGGGAAACTGTTCATCACAAGTGGAGAGTGTGCCCCAGGAGTAGGGCTTTGGGAGGAGGTCCCCTCCTTGTGTTGTCTTCCAGCTGACAAAGCAATTTGGATATAGAAGGATCAGGAAGAAGGAACTGGGGAACATTTGTCTGTGGTGGTTTGTGCTGTTTGCAGCATCAGCACTAGCATCAGCCCTGTGTGGGAAAGGTGCCAGAGTGGAAGACCCCCACAAAGGGCCACCAAGGGGCTGTCAGAGGGTGGAATGAAGCAGGAGACTGGTACAGCATCCCTGGGGACACTGGTTTTACTGGGAGGCATCCTGCAGAGCTGGGACTCTGCAGGTGCCATTGGGGAGAGCCCTGATATGCCTGGGAGGGGTCCCCCTGCCCCACTAGGTCCAGCACTTGGTGCCACAGCTGTGCAGAGGTTTCTCTTGCATTTGAGTAAAATTCCCAGTGAGGCTGGAGTGCAGCAGGGTTCTGGAGCACGCAAGCTGCAGATGCCATTCCTGGGTAATCCAGGAGATTAATTGGGGTCTGGGCTGGGAGGCAGCCTCCACACGGACCCTCTGCTCAGTCTTGCCTTCAACTCCAGCCTGGAGCTGGTGCCAAATGCTGAGGGAGATGGTGCTGGGGGTACACAGCATCTGCCACATAAGCATCCAGCTCCCTGTCACTCCCCAGCAAACCTGTCCCAGAGCCCAGCACTCCCCAGTTTTTCCTTAAAAAGAAAACCAAAATCAAACCAAATCAGAGCTCACCCCAAGACAAGGATGGAAGTGGCTCCATGTGGGATGGATTAGGTGGGCTGCACAGCACTGCCACACGCCCTGGCAAGGCAGCAAGTCTGTCCCCAGTCCAACCTAGGTGGCTGCAGTGCCAGGTGGGAATGGGGCAGCATCACTCCCTGCCTCAGTTTCCCCTTTCCTTCACATGAACACTACTTTTTGAGCACAGGGGCCACAAAAGGGGCCACATAGAAAGCCCCTCAGTGGACACTGTCCTTAGCAGTGGACACAGGAGAAAAGCCCAGTGGGGTCTGGATTCCGCCTTCAGCCCAAAGGCACAATTATTCTACAAAACATTAAGAGAATCATTAATGTGAATGGGTTTCACCGCACTTCCCATGAAGCAAAGCCTCACACTCCCTCCTCCTCTTGCCCCTTGCCTGACTTCAGTCAAATCTGAGCAAGGGTGGAAAGTCTCTGAGATAACTCAGGTCCCTGATAAGCTCCTGGGAAGGGACAGAGGCTGAAATCTCCCCTCTGCCTGCAGTGCTGGTCAGGGACAGATTGCCCATTAGACAGCAGAGTCCTCACATGCCAGTGGTGAGATGTCAAGGCTGCAGAGATTGGCCAATCCCAGCAAAACTGAGAAACCCCACTTTGGGTCCCCCTGTCCCCACAGTCACAAATTCACATGAACTTGGGGACACTTTCTCTCTCTGAAGAGCAGAGTGGTACCTGGAATGGTGTGGGCTGAGGTCAGCCACTCTGCCCCCAGACCTGTCCCCAGTGTCCCCTGGCAGCCTGTCTCTGCACAAGCCCCACAGCAGGTGACAGCTCACCCCCTGCACCCAGGCTGTTCCCAATCCCTGTGGGTCCCCGTCACCCTCTAAGCCTTGTGCTCTCCTGCCTCCCTGCAGACCGCAAGTTCCTCATTGCCAACGCCCAGATGGAGAACTGTGCCATCATCTACTGCAACGACGGCTTCTGCGAGATGTTCGGCTACTCCCGCGTGGAGGTGATGCAACAGCCCTGCACCTGCGACTTCCTCACTGGCCCTGACACCACCAAGAGCTCCATCGCCCAGCTCACCCAGGCCCTGCTTGGCTCCGAGGAGTGCAAGCTCGAGATCCTCTACTACCGCAAAGACAGTAAGAGTCGCTTTGTGGGGTGATCCAGTGGTGGGTGGTGTGACCTGCCCTGGATTTGGGCTGTGAGAAGTCAGTGGTGGGAGGCAAACAGGATCTGATGCTACCAGGGCATCAGGATTGCACACAGGCTCAGGGCTTTGCTGAGAGCAGATCCATAGTGGCTCCTGCCGGGATGGAGACATCTCTGCTGTCATGGAGCACACTGGGACCTTCAGGAATAGAGGATGTTGCCATATTATTTGGGAATCAGGTCATGTGTGAGCCCTTGGGGATGGCTCTGAGCTCCTGGGACAAGCTATGTCATTGCTTGTGGGACCCCTGCACCAGGAATGAGTGGGAAGCCCATGGAGAAGCCAGGCTGGGACACAGGTCTTCCAATCTGTGCTCCAAGATGAGACAGAGACCCCATATCTGCTGAGAGTGGGTGCAGCCAACAGCCTCAGAGCTGCCTTTCCAGTGAGCAGGATGCGGCTGTGCGTGCACAGATGGAATTACGTTAAGATGAAAATGAAGCTTTGATGGAAAATACGAGTGATTAGTTCTAATACGGCAGGAAGTTAAGTAAATATTTAGTGCTTGATGCTGCAAAACAGCAGTGGCCAGGGTTCCCAGCAGCAGGGAAATGCAGGTCCAGTGCTCATAGAAGGTTAAAAATATGAAATTGTTTCCTTTTTTTAACCTGTGGAGCTTTCCCTTTGCTTCAGATTGTATTTGATGGGGGCTTGTCCTGAGCACAGGGCTGCACCCCACTGCTGGCAGCTCCTGGACAGCCAGTTAGAGGAGAACCACTGGAAGCAGAAGGAAGGAGCAGGCAGGAACTCTGGCTCCCAACCCAGCCACCCTATCTTGAGGGCTGGCACCCGGGTGTCCTGGCTTCACTCCCAGACCCTATCTCCCGGGCTGGCATCCAGGTGCCAGCGTATCGGCCCCTGGAGTTATTCACTGGCAGCACCTCTCTGTGTTATCCCAGCGGGACCTGGCCCTCTGTGGTGGCAGGATCAGGCCACTCAGTCGAGGCTCTTCCTGTGGGGCCACTCCTGGGTGGAGAGGGGCCATGAGTGGTGCCAGGTCTGGGTGCAAGTCCCCCCCTTGAGCAGCTGCAGGGCCTGGCTGGAGCCCAGCGCAGTGCGGGAGACACACGGAGGAGCGGCACACGCTGTCCCCCTGCTCCCATCGCAGTGCCAGTGCGTGGCCATGCACTGGCTGTGGCAAGGACAGTGTGTGCAACCCTGTTCCATTTCCTCCCTCCCTCAGGATAGTTTCCCATTCCATCCCTGGGGACTACTTGGCTTGCGAGCCTGATCCATCTCCATGCTCCCTGCTTTGAAGCATTCCTGCTGGGCTCACGGGATGCTCAGTACTGTCCTCAGAACCCTGCTCTTCCTCTAGGCCATGGGGAACTCTCATTGCAGGTCTGAGCTGCTTTCTTCTCTTTTTTAATAAAAAAGAGGGAAAAAAAAAAAAAGAAAAAAGCCCAGAAGCAAACCCTTCATGTCTATTTTTAAAACCCAACCCCACCAGCAGTATGCTTTCCAATTGTTTCCCCCCAGCACTCAGCCTGCGACCGCTCGGCCCATTATAAATGGGTCTTATCGGCAAAGAAAAGGCTTTTGCATTATAGGGAGCTGCTGCTTAATTAGCCGGCAGAGCTCCGAACCTGCCTGTCCTCTTTTTCATACCAGCAGCACCAATCTCCAGCCTCGACCTGCTGTTTATTACTGCGGTACTCCCGGCTCTGCAGCTCGCGGGGCTGTTTCCTCGCTTTTCTGGCTGACAGAGGCAATATTACACCCAAAATCTGCCCGCTGGAGCCACCCAAGCAGGGCCAGGGTGGGATGGATGAAGACAGGTAGGAAGGGGCCACCCAAGGGTATCTGGGCCAGTGGGTTCTGGGGTCTGGCAGGATGCTGAGTAATGGGAGGATGAGTGTCCCTGAGGACAGCCTGGCAGCTCAGTCCCCACCCGGATGCCCATGCTGTCATCACCTAATTATACACAGAGCCAAACGAGCCAGGAGTGCCAACAGTGAGCCCAGCTCCAAACCAAGAACCAAGTACCTGTGGGGAAAGGTGGGGTCAGCCCAGCCAGGGCAGTTGTCCCTTCCTGCCACACCAGCCCCAAAAAGGCCTTGGAAAGAAGGAAGAGCCCGTTCACAGCGCGTGAGGGCTCTAATCCCCAGCTCAAAGCTGGGAGATCAGTGAAAAGTTAATTTCCTTACAAGATGCTACACAGCTGGAACTGGCCCAGACAGGGGGGTCAGCACGGGATCAGCTCCTGCTGCAGTGAGGAGCAGCCATGGCCTCCAGCCCTGGGGACACACTGTCCACTGTGGCCAGGGTGAGATCAAATCCTCCAGCATCCCCTGAGGACAACGCTGAGGAGCTGGTGGAGCTGAGCTGCACCCAGGGTTGGGATTTTTCCCTCTCCAAGGGTGATGTGCTTTGCAGCGAAGCCACTGGCCAGGGCTCGCGGGGTTCCCAGAGCAGAAGGTGGCCGCAGGTGCTGAGTGCCACCAGTGCGAGCATGGCCTGAGCAGCAGCAGCTGCTGGCACCCGCTCTGCTTAATCTGCATGAATGTGATGCTGCTGAATATGAAAGGGGAGATGTGGCTGTGACAGCTGGAGCAGCTGGTGGGGCCGCCCCAGCCCCTCCATCCTGTCCTCTCCTGGGCAGAGCCCACAGCTTGTCCCCTCCAGCAGCAGTTCATGTCAGTCCCCTCGGAACTCGAATTAGGGACTGGGATCAGGCTGGCAAACTCATAAAACTGGTGCAGAAGCCAGGATTTGCCCCTGGGGGCTCCAGGAGTGGGAGGCTGAGAGAGTGATTGGGGTGCCCTGTGCCACTCAGCATATCCCCACAAGTCCTCATGGGGGGCCCGAGCAAGCAGCCAGGCAGGCATGGGTTGGAAGTGTCACCACACCCAAAGGGGGCAGAGACACTCCTGTGACATGTCCCCTCTGTCCCCAGCCCACACACACCCATGGCACTGCACCTCTCCAGCAGCTGCTGCCAGGAAGCCTGGCCAAGGCAGGGGGATGCATCCAACCAGGGTTTCTCCATACAGCTTTGTAAACAGCAACATGTGACGTGCCCAATGGGTGCACTGGGAACAGGAGGGCAAATCCCACCAGCAGCTGCTGAATCCTGACACTGTCAGGGATTTGGTGTTAGCAGCCCCAGGGAGCCTCTGCTCCTGCCCCATGGAGGGGGTCAAGGCAGGACTAAGGGGACTTCTTGGGTGTTGGAGGAGGAGGAAGGCACAGCCAGCTGACAAAGCCCAACCCCAAGTTGAGCTCTTGGCTTGTACAAACCCATGGGGCTTATGCCAAGCTAGGGCTGTTTGCTTTAAGGGTCAGTCTGTGACCTCGGGAAAGGGATGGATAGCATGGCCCAGCTCCAGATGGGAACTTATAAACATCCCGCCTCACAAGGACAAAAGCTCTGGTCCCAGAGATCCTGTGCTGCAGAGACAATTCTGCCATCCTTGGCATGGCTGTGCTGCAGCTCCAGGCACCCCCATTGCCCTGGCTGTGCCCCAAGGCCAGTGTGACTAGGGCAGAGAGCTGCAAGGGACACGTTTTTCATCTTCTGCTGCTCCACAGATGCTTTTTGCTTGGACATGATGTCCCATGAACAAAAGGACAGGCTCAGATCATCCCCAGCACCTCCAAGAATGATGCCTGGAGCAGTTTTTTTCCTGAAATCCCTGCCCTGGCAGAGTCACTGATTCTGACCCCAAGCTCTCCATCCTCATCCTCAATGACTGTTGCACCCCCAGTGGGAGGTGTCCCCACGTGCCATGGAAACAGGTCTCTGGGATGGCTGGATAGCCCCAGAAAACTCTGTCATCTCTGCAGCTTTGGCCACTCAGTCCCCTCTCAGATGAACTAATTTCTGCAGCTAGCAGGATTTAGCAAGAGAAGGACTGAGGGCCTAGGCATGGCACTCACTTTGCTTGCAGAGGAGGTTAAGATGCATTTTACCAACCCACTGTATTGATCCAGGACCCCTTTTGGCTCCTGGGGATCAGAGCATCCTTCTAGCTGCATCCAAAACCACCCTGCTAGGCTTGGATATTTCTTGTGGCCACATTTTGGTGGGTACCCTCAGCCACCTGACACTCCTGGTTTTCCTTCTCCACTGCTGCTTCCAGCCTGCCTGTAAGGCCTGGAATTTAAGAAGAGGCAAGCACAGAAATCCCTGCCCTTCCTCACTGCACAGGGAAACCTCCATCCCGCTGATGTTACTTAATAAGGTCATTCTTGCTGGCCTGGTGTCCTGTTGGGTTTCAGTCTCCTGATGCCTGTCTGGGTGTGGGGAGAGGGACCAGGGCAAGCCCAGTGTTGCACATTCCCCTCCCTGTGCAGGGGGATGCAGACCTGCAAGGGCTTACCCCAGGTCTCAAGAGTGACGAATGTCCCACTAGCTCAGACTCTGTCTCCATTTTTTTTTTCCATCACACATCAGGGATTTTGGGCCTCCCAGCAATGTCTGCTTCCCTTTGAAGTTCTATTCAGCCCTGACACTGATTTATCCCAGGATGGATGCTCAGCTTGGTCCTCCAAGCTTCTCTCTGGGCATGCCAGCCATCCCTGGAGCACAGCTCTGTTCCCATCGCTGTCCCCGTCCCCTCCGTGCCCTTCCCAGCCCCTCTCTTCTGCTCCTTTATGTAACACCACTATAGATTTAGCCACTCTGCCATGAGACCCTGCAGATTAAATCTCCCGGCCGGGGGGAGGCCTGGGTTAGAGCTCCAAGCACAGATTAATAGCTCGCTTTTTTAATATTCATAACAATACTGGCTTGTGTCCGGCTCTCGGAAACCCCCGTGTCCTGTTGATTAGTTTAATACTGATGATACTGACAAATGCATTAACCACCAGTGGCTGCAGGGGATAAGAGGGACGGGGGGGAGGGCCCCCAACAATGACATTTTTAATGTTATTAAGTGTTGGCTTTTATCAAGGTCAGAAGACACGGTGGGTCAGAAAGCACAAACCTCCAGGCACTCACTCAGCTTGGAGGAGCTGGGCTGGGTGCTGGAAGATCAAACCCAGGAGTTAAGGGAATGAGCTGGTTTTCCCAGCCCATACAAGCCCACCACATTGGCTGTAGGACCCTTCAAACCAGCATCCATATTGTACCCCACCTGCCAAGCCCTTTCTGCAGCCCCCAGGCTGGGTCTCATCCCAGATGGGCACAGGTACCCTAATGCTGGTGGCCACAAAGCACAGGCAGGTTGGGAATGCCCCCAGGGCTCCTCCAAGAGATCATTTGGTGGCTGGATAAAATTAGATGGATGGAGACAGATTAGCTGAACAGCTGAAGGGAAGAGACAGTCAGATGGATGGGGACAGTCAATCGAGGACCAAGGAAGGGAGGGCAGGCCTGAGGTCCCTCCTGGGACTGGCTCAGCCCACTGGTGCTAGGGCAGGTTTGGGTGCCTGGTTCTTGGGAAGAAGGATAGGGAGGCTCAGTGTTCAGCAGAGCCGAGGCTGGCTCACTATCGTGAAACTGAATCAGGACAAAGGGTACCACAGCTCTCCCAGCTGCAGCCTCTCCACAGAGCTGGGGGTACCCCAAATCCCAGCTGCACAGAGACCCCAAATCCTGGGGAATGCCCTGCCTTTGGGCCAGGCTTAAGGGAACCTGCTGCTCCCATCCCTGGCCCTGATACCCCTTGACACCTCCATGCTGTGTCATGTGGGTCTGAGCAAGGCACTGAGTTCCTGGCACGCAGGGCTGAGCCTGCTGAGGCTACTTTTGGGGTGATTCCCCTGGTTTTGGAGGGGATTAACATTGGCCCACACTGAATTGGCCAGGCAGTTGGACTAGATTATTGCTATAGTTCCCTCCCAGCAGAAATAGTCTCTTTTATTTAATTTAAGAAGGGATCAGTGAGGGGCTCACTGTGACATTGGCCAGGGCCGCTCAAGCTCAGCACCTCCCAGATTTTCAGGATCAAACCAGGCACCAGCTGCCACCCAAACCCACCCCCAGCCACCTCCCAGCTGCTCTTTATATCAATCCAACGAGATGTAACTGGGCCCAGTTTTCAGCTGTTCTGCATTGGCCATGGGATTAACTCTTTCCCATGCCACATAAGGGGCTGCCAGGATCTAGCCCCCCTGAGAACAGCTCAGAGCCCATCCCCTCCCACTGCCATAAGGAACTTAGGAAGGAAATGTGAGGTGGTGAAGGAATGCAGGAGGGGAGAGCACCTGAGCCTGGACTGGGCTATCTGGATGAGAATTCCCAGTCCAGGGGGAAGCATGGAGCTGATGGCTGCCCATGCCAATGAACCATGTGGGTTCCAGGAAGTTAGTGATGCTTCAAAATCACTCCTGGGGGGAAAAAAACTCCTCATTTTCTAACACCAAAGGAGAAAACATTCATGAGCAGGCTCCCCTGTGCACAGCCCCTGACACACCAGCGTGCGCCTGTGCACACACCAGAGCTGCGGCATCCTGGGGATGGCACCGTGCCATCCCACCAGGCATGTGCCACCTCAGCATCACCCAGAGCACCTCACTCACTCAGCATCCCTTCCAGGCTATCTCTTGATCTAAAGATCCCTAAAAATCCTGAGAAAGAGAGGGAAAGAGCTCACTTCGTACTGCTACGCAGAGAGGTAACCTGTGGTGTGCCATGCAGCCCCCAAACAGATTTATCTGCCAAAAATCCACTCCCTTCTCCCCAGCTCACACATTTAAGTGGATTTCCTCTCCCTTTGGTGAACAGTGGAGAGAAGAAAGAGAGAGAGAGAGAGAGAGAGAAAGAGAGAGAGAGAGAGAAAGAAAGAAACCCATCCAGTCTGGGGTCTTTAAACAGAATTCAGCATATCCATTTCTTTCCTGTTCTTGTGTCTGTGTATGTGTACATCCCTGACGTCACGGCAGATTTTGAAGTTGCCCGATGCTGGCCATCTGCTCCTGATTACGGGAGGCTCTGAGCTCCTTAAAATTATACGCAGAAAGGCTGACATGCCCCTCCCGGCTGGAGCGTGGCCACAGCCAGAGCAGGAGAGCACTGGATCGGGCCAGCAGCACATCCCTGCCCAATCTGCTAATCCCTGTGATCAGAGCAAGGGGCCAAGGCAAGATCAGGGATCTGCACAGGGCAAAAGCTGCCATGGAAGGAGGTGGCCTGGCTCCATATTGTCTGGAGCGGTACCTGCGTGCTCCATCATCTCGAGCAGTTTTGGGATAGGAGCCTGGGCACGTTCAAGGGGTTTCACCAGAGGGATCGTGACAGTGGCTGTGGCTCAGAGGGTCCCACTCCCACCAGTGCCAAAGCAACAGCAGTTAGCTCAAGGAAGGGACTCAGTGATTATTCCCTAAGGTAGGGTTTTTGGAGGATTTGGTGGGAATAAAGCTGGCAAAGGAGGTGGGAAAACACCTGTATCCTTTACTTGGTGCTTTGGAAAAGACCTTCAGGTGTTTTCAGTTGCCTTTAATTGAAGACTGGTGCCTGGCTGCTGCACAAGAAGAGCCACAGGGTTAAGCTGACATCCAACAGGAAAATCCCTATGGACATATTTGGGATCCTCCTCACAGCCTCCATCACTCCCAGGACACTGAGCCAGTCCTTGTGCCGCTTTTGTGCCTCAGTGTCCCCGTGGCAGGACAAGACAAGGTCATGCCTGACCATGCCTTCAGGGACTGTCCTTGGGGACTGTCACACTGATCCTCCCCAGTCCTGCTGCCCACGTGGTCGGGCTCACCCCCATTACCTGCATCCAGTCCCCAAAAACTGCCTGGTGATTGCAGGGCAATTAACTGCAGCATGATTACAAGCAGGATGCTTAATGAGGTTAAACCACTACCTGGGACTTCCTGAGTTCTTAATTACTCACTCTTTAATTGCTGTTCTCAAGTACATTAATATAAATGACTGTCTGGGACAGAAAAAAGAGATGTGATCAGTGTGATTGGGATGCTTCAGGGATATGGCCCTTTCCCAGAGCTCAGATCATGTTCCACATCATCCACTACCCCCCAGCAGGGATTACACCCATCAAAGTTCTCAGAAACCCACTTCTCTGCCAAAAGCTGCGGGGGGAGGTCAGAGTCTCCTGTGCAGCCCCCCTAAGCCTGTCTCTGCTCGGCAGCATCGTGTTTCCGCTGCCTGGTGGATGTGGTGCCTGTGAAGAACGAGGAAGGTGTCGTCATCATGTTCATCCTCAACTTCGAGGATCTGGCACAGCTCATCGCCAAGAGCACCGGGCGGAGCCTGCACCAGCGCCTGTCCCAGAGCTGGAGCAAAGGTGGGTGCCCGGGGGCGGCGGGGACCTGGGAGGGCAGCACAGCACCCTCACCCCATGGTTTGCTTGGGAGCACGTGGGGACTGAAGGCTGCACCTGTGTCTGGGCAGGATCTTGCATGGGAAGAGGTTTGTATTTTTCACAGCCGCAGCTCTGACTGCTCAGGGACTGGGAAAAGGCTGTTTGAGCCAGGTGTGCTTCCCTTGCGTCCACAGCTGCCCAGTGGCAGTTCCCGAAATCCCAGAGACCTGGGGAACAGGATGGGGACTGATTCCTTGCATGGGATGGTGCATTTTTGAGAGGAGGTCTCGCTGTGAGTGGAGCCATGGAGTCCCCTCCATGAACCCCCTGCACTGCTGGATCTTTTCCATATTTAACACTGGCTTGGGCTGGAGGTGCTGGTGTGGGGCAGGACCTGTGTATGGGGTCACCAGGAGGGCCAGGGGACATTTGGTGTCACCAACAGCATGGCTGTGCTATCAGAATGTCACTGCAGGTGAATGGCACGAGGATGGCTGCACTGTGATGGTTCAGCCTGCCCCAGCTTCAGGCTATTCCCTGCTCTCTTAGACTCCTTCCAGGGTTTTGGAGACAGTGGAAAATTCAAATTCCCTTTTGAAGGAGACTGGATCAAAGGGAAGCTGTGGTGAGGCTCTCGAGGGGATGTGGATATTCAGGGATGCAGATGTTAGACCTGACAAAGAGCTGTAACTTCTAAATCTCTTCCTTCTATACAGCCCTCAGTGCTGGTCACCTCTGCTTGAGCCAGGGAAATAATCCCACATCTGCCTTCATGACAACATTCCCTAGGGGTGTTGTTGGGAGGCTTCGGGCAGGCCTCAAAATAAAGCTGTGGGAGCAACATGGGTCTGTCCCACCATGGCACATGGGGTGGCACAGCAGGACCAGGACCAGAGCCAGGGCCACATCAGGGAACAGTTTGAGAGCTGCCCATTGAACTGGAGTGTGTGTGTCAGTGCATTCCCACTCAGTGCATAACTGTATCCTGGAGCCATTCAGGTGTCTGTGTATGGCAGCAGGTACCAGCAGAGTTTTATATGGGTTTATATGTGCTCAGGCCAGACATGCACACAGGGAGCTCATGGGGGTGTCTGTGTGGATGGACAGATCACTGTGCATGTCTTCATAGGTCTGTGAAGTGATGAGATTCATATTTTTGATGGATTGCTTTAGTATCAGCTACCCTCTATGCATGACCTGCTGAGGAAATCTTAAATTCCAGCACCAGCATTGCTTTGCAGCCCCACCTGCTCTCAAAATATCTCAACATATGATGCACCCATACCCCATCTCACCCCTTCCTTCGGCAGAAGGCGCTCAAATCCAGAGTAGCTGTCACTTCCTTGCATGTTGGATGTTGTGTTGTGCATCCCAAGGGGTGTTTCCGATGGCAGGGAGTGTGGAAAGGCCAGAGCTGCTGGTGCAGCTGCTGGAGCCCCAAGATCGAGATCTCATGCACAGGTTTTCTGACTCAGTCTTCAATTGCACAGCCACAGGTGCCTGCGTTGCTGGTTGCCAGCTCATTGGTGTGCAGGGAAAGTTGGATGCTTTGCTTCTTCCAGCTGAAAAGCTGCTCTAGGCAGTGGGGATGGGGTGAGCAGAGGGAGCCCGTGTGGTACCCCAGGGGCACAGACGTTGCTGGGCAGTCTGGGGCCCTGCCCAAGCAGCTTGGTGGTGTTTTGGGGCTGGATGAGGGAAGCTAATCTTGCCAAAACCAAAGGGCTCCTCAATGTGTTGCTTTTTCCCAGACGACAATGTCTTTGTGGAGCTCGTGCCACATCCCACACACCCCAGGATTTAAGCCAACTTTTGTGCAGTTAGGGAGCTCAGTTGGTGCTGCTGGATGAGCTTTGGGGCTGACCCAGGCCCCAAGGGTGTGAACGTAGCTGCTCACATGAACTCTGCAGTGCAAGTGACCATGGTCTCCTCTAGAAGAGGACAAGTGACTTTGCATTGAGTGTCACAACCAGGGGCATTGGGCCCTCTCCACATCTGGGCTCTTCCTCTCCTGCATCTCTCTCACAGCTCCTAGCAGCCCTGGCTGCCCTTGTCCCAGCCCCAGTCCCCAGTAAGGTGGTCTCCTTGTCCCCTGTGATGGCAGGAAGAGACCTGTGTGGTCCGAATTCCCTCACTTAAAATCCAAAATAAATCCAGGAACAAAATTGATAGAACTACTTTTCTTTTGATGCCTTTTTAAATTACCATCTCTATTGTGTGGACGTTTTTTTCACTAAAGTTCCACCAAAGAGATTTAGAGGCTCGATTTCCTCCAGGTCCAAATCCCTTAAGTGGCTTTAACCTCTTTAATTGGCTTAGGGATGCTCTGCACCTTTCCCGATCACATCCGCAGTTGTAGGGAACTCTTCTCCAGCTCAGAGGAGCTTGCTGCCAGGTCAGGGTCTGCCTTGAGCACACGGTGATGTGATGGCCTGGGAATAGCAAGTGCTCTGGAGGAGGAAGGGCCACACAGCATGTGCGTCCCCCAAAGCCACCCAAAATTCTCCGTAGCGTCTCCCCTGTCCCACCTCACTCCAGCCATCACATGCAGCTAGGTCACATCTTTCTCTCTTGTGTTTTGTTTCTCTTTTTAACAAGGTGAAGGTAGGAGTTTGAAGTTTAGTCTCCCGTCCCTGCGGCGACTCAAAATCCAGCGGAAATCTCTGCCCACCAGTGAGTTTGATGGAGTAGCCATTGACTATGGAAAGGTAACCGTAGCCTTTGTCTGATATAAGCCCACGCCTCAGGCCAGGTCCCAGCGCTCTTCCTCGTTGTCCCCATCCCAGTCCCCCTTGGCTGCTGTGGCTCGGGCCATCTCTGGCGGTAGGGCCGGCACGGGGTCGGTGCTGAGGCTGGCCCTGCTGAGGGCTGGCAGCGAGTGCGGTGCTTTGGCGGCGTGGGCTGGAGCTCGACGGTGCTGCTCCGCACATTCCATGGCTCATGGGGGGAGTGGGAGAGGTGCCAAGGTGGGGAGGAAGGTCTGCTCCATACTGCAGGTTGCCCAGGATGGTGGAGCTCCAGGGAGTTGTCCCCACCTCAAGGAGGGGATGTGCTGGTAGCTGTAGGAGCATGGAGCAGCTGTGCTCTGAGCAGGGACTGGCAGGCTCATCTCCTCATGTTTTCCTGGCAGGGATCAGGCAGCACAGGCTGGTCCAGCTTCTCAGCCCTCCAGCAAAGATTGTACTTCCCATGGTGGAAGGTGATCTGTCACCAACCTTGAAAAACTGTTGGTGGGGTCTGTTCAGAGATTGCTGTTCTTGGTGGCTTCCTGACTGTCAGTAGTGCTCAGGGTACCTCCAGTCAAAGACCTGCTGTTTTCTGAAATGCTGGAGTTCAAGGATGTGAGCAAGGAGGCTCCTCTGCTAAGGCATCCCCAGGTGCCATGGTCTTGCTGTGCTGGGTGTATCCAGGCAGCCTGGATAAATCTGCTTCCCCAAATCATAGATATAATGAGATGGAAGGTGCCTGTCTTCTCAGAGGTTGTGTTTATGGTAGATTGAATACGTGTGTAGGGTTATCAGATGCTTTGGGTACATCATTCCTATAGGCACCAGCACTGCTAAAAGCTCTGGGTACTCCCAGGCTGGAGCTGCATGGAGCACTGCAGTGTTTCAGGGCACACACATGGAAAATGTGCATTGAGGACAACCTGGTGTTCTACTGTTTTTCTGGAGCTTGGTCAAGTGGGCACAGCCCTGCAGGTGCAGGGCCAGCCAGCAGCCAGCCTCTCCAGGAACCCCATCCTGCCCTGAGAGCCTTAGGGATGGTGAGAAGTGCCACAGTCCCTCCTGTGGGTACTACTGGAGAGGCACAGTCTCATGGGTTTCTGCTCCCAGAAAGTGGAACTGGCTAACTGCTAACTGGCTTTCCACACTCCATTGCAGAAATTAAAGTCTGGAAACTCATCAGGTCTTCAGGGAAAAATGTTTAGCCATGGTTAACAGTGGCTCTAGGAGAAGGAGGATAAATATGGGCAAATTTACAAACACAGCAGCTCCTCCAGTGCTTCCTGTGCAGAGCACATCCTCTTCCATAAACACCAGCATAGGGCACTGACCCGTGGTGGTGGCCTGAGCTTTTGCAGCAGGTGAGGGAAGGGCAGCCCCAGTGGTGGGACCCAGGGACATCTCAGAAAAACGCATGGCACAGCAGGTACTCCTGCTGTCCCTAGGTCTCCTCTTGCTCTCACCTGCTTCCCAGCTGTGCACCATCACCTTGCAAACCTCCCCGCAGCCTCCCATGGCGGGAGTTGATAGGAGGTAGGAGCTGCCAAGTCCCCAGGGACTCGGTCGCCCCACTCCAAAGCAGGTCCTGGTCCAGGCTGGAGATGACCTCAGGAACTGCAGTGCTTCCCAGCCCTCTGCCTCTCCTCTTACCTACCCTGGCTCCCTCACCTTTCCCCCCAGCACGCGGGGACTCCTTCTAATACAACGCTTTCTCCTGGCTGTCTTAAAGCCTGGTGGTGACTCCCTGATTTTGAGGGACTTGAAGACATCGCCCAAGGAAAACTGTATGCAGTCAGAGACCGAATCCCTCCTGGAAAAGGAGCGGAGGCCAAGCCTGGAGGCCGACCCCACCCTACAACACTCGTCCCCGAAACAAGAGCCTCCCGTGCTGGGCCCTCGAGGGTCGTACCCTGCGTGGGGTTTCTTTCGGTCTCGCGCTGGGGGCAGCTTCCACAGCCTCCGCAGGGTCTCCTCCTTGGACAACTTTGAGGCTGCGAGGTCTGAGTTCCAGAGAAAATTCAGGGAAAGGAGGGCAAACTCAGGTAGGGAAAACCCCGGAGCTGTCGGTTCTATTGCGGGAGTCAGGGTTCTGGCGATGGCCTCAGCACATCTCGGGGGGGGAGGTCTCGGTCTCTTTTCCCTCTGCAAGGTGGAGATTACCTGGTTCTTCTCCCCAAAACCCACTGGTCTCCATGTGATTCCCTGCATAGGCAGGTCCTGCTCTGTAGGTAGGGCCACCCATGATTTGTGTGTGAGATGTGAGACCGTGTGAGGTTGCATTCAGCTGCCCCACACAAGGGGCATCCCAATGCCGTCCCACCTTCCCAGGAGGGAGGGAAGGGGTCTGCAGGCATGTGCAGTGTGAGCTGTGTCCATGTGTTGGAGGTGGGTGAGACGCTGGCCAGGCCACCCTGAAGGGCTGAAGGGAATGATCCTTCACCATGCTATCCACATCCAGACCTCTGGTTCTCATGAGTGATGATGACAAATTAGATGGAGGTCAGGAAAGAGAAGCCTGTCAGCTGGGGATGAGAGAGATCAGTCTGTGGAATGTGGCTGTAAAAAATGGGCTGGAGGTCCATGATCCTCCTATAGTCATGGGTTATGGACCCTCAGGAGGAGACAGTATAGAGGGAGGGAAGGGGAATGCGCAGGGAGAAGGGTGGCAGCAGAATGGCTAGTGCTAACTGGGCACCTTCACAATGTCTTCAGACACCTCCTGCCCACACCACCACTTGGCTCAATGTCAGAGTGCAAGGGCTAGAAGGGGTAAAAAATTGAAAATACAACCCTGCCTTGCCTGTAGGAGATGGAAAGGTTGGTACACACTGAGTACATTGCCTGGGGATCTTCCTGAAGCCCTGGGTCTGAGTACAGGCCATGACAAAACGTTGCCAGAAGCCCAGCCATGAAATGACCACCTACACAGCTTCCTCCCTGGTCCTGCATTGGGGTGACCCAGAGGCAGGTCCCCAGGGAGAAATATTAGGATCCACCCCCACTACAGCTCTTCTTCTGGAGAAAGCTCTGACCTCCCTACCTGGAGCTGGGGGGTGGAGGATACATCTGAGTGGGAATATCATCCAACTCCTGGTTCAGTTTGGTGGCCAAAAACCAAGACAGCAGCTCAAGAGCTGTTTGTCAGGCTAAAGCATGCAAGGGTGGAGGAGAATGATGTCCTCCTTTGTCTGTTTTCATGCCAGTTTTGGCATCTCTCTGTGGTGAATCAACAGTGTGTCTCTGTTTTGGCAGCTGGTCTGAGCTCCCTGAAGGAGGTTTAATGGTGAAAAGATGGGTGATATTTGGGAAAAACAGCCCTTTCTCAGGCATCCCAGACTGGGCATCCCACGTCTGAGCCAGCCTGAAGAAGTTAAGCCTTTATGGCCAAGCAGACTTTGGCGCCTTTTGGTGGCACCTTGTGGTGGTCCCCAGCTCCTGGAGGTCCTACACAAGGTCAGGGCTCTAGGGATCTGTTCCTGCTCACACTGCCCTTCTCAATGCTCCTCTCCATCCTCTTTCAGAGGCTTCCCATGTCAAACCCAACCCCCCGAACTCCACCTCGGACTCAGACCTCATGAAGTACCGGACCATCAGCCAGATCCCCCAGTTCACACTCAACTTTGTGGAGTTCAACCTGGAGAAGCACCGCTCAGGTTCCACCACAGAGATTGAGATAATTGCTCCCCACAAGGTGATGGAACGCACCCAGAACGTTACTGAGAAGGTCACACAGGTATGTGGGCAGTGAGATTCCACCAAGGCAGTGATGGGGTGCTGGTGTTGCTGCTGGGGGACAGTCACAAGCACTCCAGTGGTTTTGGGAGGAGAGTAGCAGGGAAGGCAGTGACACCTGGAGATTCCATCCCAGGAAATGCCAGTATCCCTGTGTTTGGTTATGCCTTTCTCTGAATGGCTGAAATTCTCATTTTAATCCCCTAAATTATTATTTCTGGTAATTTCTGGCTGGGGAAACACAGCATGAACTGCTCGTGAGGGTGGCCTTGAACGGGACAAGTGTTTGCATGTTTGTGTGTGTGCATGTGGCTTCTTTTGGAGAGAGCTCTGGGCACTGTTCCTGCCCCTCAGTTCTGGGAATGGAGCCCCTGGGGCACCGCTGGCCATGGGGTGCCCGGCCAAGGAGCCGGTGTCAGCACGCCGAGGGCCACAGAATCCCCTGGGAGACAGCAGGTGGCACTGTACTGTCACCAACACGCGTGGCACCACCTGTCACTGCAGGGGACACTTGGGCGCTGTCTCCTAAAGCACATCCCACGGGAATACCAGAGTGCATGAAAGATGCTGATGTATCCTGAGTAAGGAGCTCTTCTAGCTGTGGGGAAACTGAGGCACGGGAAGATATATCTGAGGGCACCTCCCATTGTTGCCAGCAGTAGCCAAGGCCAAATTTAATGAAAATGCAGCCATCTGACCCCAGAAAAGCCTCCAGGCTTGGGAGTTTGCTCCATCAGAGTGGAGTGCTATGCAGGATTCTCCTTCTGTCTCGGTGTCAGCAAACCTTTAACTTCACAGCCTGCATGCACAGGGGCTGGGCTCCCCACTTCACACATCATGGAGCAGGTCTTGGGCTTGTCTCCTTCATTAGTCCCTCTAATCTGGGGATGACTGCAGTGACCCAGGATTAGCCCCTGAAGTGCCCTGTGGGACGGTGAGCAGCCTCCATGCCCCGGTCCCCATCACGAGGAACACACCCGGGATCACTGGTCACAGTGGGGTTACTGTCACAGTGGTGCTGGCCACTCAATGTGGGGTCAGTAGCTGGTTGTGGAGTGATGGGATCAGAACTGGTGGGTGGTGGCTGCAGGACCATGCAGTGCAGCACCCACAGAGGTCAATCTTCACTTTCAACCTCCAGGTGGGATGGGATGAGATGAGATAGGATGGACCTCTCCTCCCTGCCGGATTCCCCCTCCCAGGGAGGACCTGCCTGTCCTCACCCCAATGTCCCCCACACCTCCTGCCCAAGCCACAGCTCCCCGCTCCTGGCTGTTAAATAATTCAAGAGCGGCAGAGACAGTGGCGAGACGCCGTCTAAAAATACCGGTGGGTGGGCAGGGAGTGGAGACAGGGATGTGGAGGCTGTTTGGGATGGTCTGGCCCTGCAGTGAGCTGGCAGGGAGGGCGGGCCACAAGTGCAATGAAGGTCCCAGGCTCGGCTTCACGGGTCTGTGGCTCTGGAGCACAGCTGGGGGCATGTGGGGGTGCCGTGGGGTTGGTGTCCCCAGGCTGGGGTCCTGTCTGCAGGTGGCATGTGTCCCAGTCCCCCCATCTGCCGTGCTGGGTGCTGGGGACAGGGATGGTGGGGCTGAGCTGTGTCAGGATACATGCTGGGAGATACATACTGGCTCACTGCCAGCCTGCAGCCAGCACCATGGGCTTGATCCTGCCCAGCCACTTGTGCTTGAGGCTCTCCTGGTGATTCTGGAGTGACCCCTACCTTAGCTCAGTCCTCTTATCCCCAGCACCCAGCAAGGGACATGAGGGAACAGCTGGGAAGGTGATGGGTGTCTGGCACCACGGGGTGTGAGCAATGGCTTGGGTTAGCCAGGGTCACAGGAGCCTCCTCCCTCTGTCACCCACAGCCCACACATACCCTGCTCCCTCCTCCTTCTTCTCCTTCTCCCTTCTGCACTCCCTCACTCACTGCCAGCACCCAGCACCCCACACCATGGGCCTGCAGCTGTGGCTAAAGCCAGTAAGTGCAGGAGGAAGGGGACAAAGGGAAGAGGCATCCAGAGGAGGATCACCACGGGGAACACTGGGACTGCCACCTTCAGAGACTCCCAGGGCCACCCAGGCCACCCGAGGAGCTTCCCATCCCTTAGGGACAGAGAGGAACAAGGCTGCAGCTGCTCCCTAGCTCTGTGTTGGTTTGAACACTCTTCTGGGGGTTGTATCTTTACCCTTTCCTGCCTCAGATCTTTGGGGATGTGGTTTTTTATTTATTCCTGCCTGAAAAGCAAGAGGGCTTAACCTGATCTTGCTTCTGCCGCAAGAGCTAGGTGCCAGGAACAAGGACGAAGGGCAGAGCAGGTGCCCCAGCACAGAGAACAGTATTTGGTGGCCCAAATTCAGGACCAGTCCCACAGAGCTGCCTCCAGCCAGGCAGAACAAGCATTCAGCTGCTGAGGGTGGGAGCATTGCTGGTTTTCCCAGACACAAGGTGAAGAAGTCCATCTCAGGTCTTCTGGGTACAACTTAGTTTTGGGATCAAGCGTTTTATCAGTGTTGCCTTGTCCTCTTCCCTGCCGTCCCCACAGAAGTCAGTCCCCAAGCCCAGCTGGTGCCTCATTCCCTCCACAACGATTGCGTTTGGGTCACTTTTTCCAATCCCTCCCCTCTCCATGCACCAACGACGTCGACGGCTCCCGCTGCTCCATTGGCGCTCTTGTCCCCACGGGGGCCCCGGCATTGATTTGGTTTGATTAATCCACGCTGGGCTCCTGAATGCCCTTCGCAGCCGCATGTCTCCCACCCGCCTGGCCGAGTGCCTGCGTGCCTGCGTGGGCAATGCCACGGCCCGAGCGCTGCGCCCACCGTGCCGGACGCTGCCGGGGCGTGTGGGGCTGGGGGCCCCCATGGTGGACACCCGGACCTCGAGGGTCAGCTGCCGCCTGGGGCGCCGGGCGAGCTGCAGGCAGGTAGGAGCAGGGGACACCTCTGGTGCACGGGACTCCCCGGTGTCCTGGGGCTCTGGGATGTGGGAGCGGCTGCTTGTTATGGGATGGGGCCACAGGGATGGATCCGCTTCGGGTCGCAGCATCAGGAGCCCTTGAGATACTCTTGAACAAGACAGCTGTCAGGGCAGGAAGGATCAGACCCTTCTTCCAGATCTGTTGCCAGAACCATGGTGATGCTTATCAGTGTTTTCTTGGGATATGTGGATCCTCCTTTCTCCTCTCTCCTTTCCTTCGCAGCCCAGCAAAAAGCTCTCTTTTAGCTGGGGTCTCAGTGCCAGGAGAGAGAATTGAGGTGCCCCTCATCCTACTCTGCAACTGGCACTGGTCTCAGTACCACAGGGGCACTGGGGGACAAACAGAGCAGCAGGGGCAGGAAGGGGATCCAGCTGCCCCCAGCTCCAAATAAGCCCCTTCATGCCACCACCCCTCAGCACCCAAAGCAGGGCAGCCCCACCCCTCCCGTACCCAGCGCCTCGTGTTGTGTCCCCACAGTGGCTTTAGCTCTATCAGGAGCTGGCATTGGTCCTGGAGGGGGAGCTGGGCCAGGCTCGGATGTGTGGGGAACTCACTGGTGCTGTGGAGTGTCCCCATGAAAGCAGAGCGCCGCGGGGACACATGACAGCATGGGAGGGTGCTTACACCATCTCACCACTTGAGATGGTGTTTGCACATTGATGGCCACAGGTGAGATGGGAAATGGGCATTGCCAGAGGCTTTGCTGCAGGTGGCCCAAGGTATCCCTCTGCTTGGAGGACAACTGTGCCAGAAGGACATCCAGGGGAAGATATTTGCTATGGCCAAGAAAGGCATGGTGCAAGGCTTGCAGGATGTCTAATGTGCTGTCACCCTCGGGTGACACAGCCATGGGATGACATCTCCAAGCTGCCCATCCCATGGCCCTGTGCCAGGGACACCCAGCAGCTCCCGAGCAGGTGGCACAGAGCTGAGGGCAGAAGAAGGCACAGCAGCAGACACTTTCCTCTCTGCTGGGTCAGAAGGACATAAAGCAGGTAAGAAGCTGCCCCAAGGGGGCTGTAACCATCAGAGACAGACAAGGACCTTGGTGTCAGCCACAGTGGGCAACTGGGCAAACACATATGCAGCCAACAAAGGTGAAAAAGCTGTAGGAAACCATTGGGTGCTCCTTGATGCTCTACCAGCACATGGAAGTTCCTTTCTGGTTCCTGGAATTAATTCCAGCCTCTCTCCTAGTCTCCCATCCTTCTCACACCCCTCTCCTGGCAGGTGCTGTCCCTGGGTGCTGATGTCCTTCCTGAGTACAAGCTGCAGGCGCCACGCATCCACCGATGGACCATCCTGCACTACAGTCCCTTCAAGGCTGTGTGGGACTGGCTCATCCTCCTGCTGGTCATCTACACAGCCGTCTTCACCCCCTATTCAGCTGCCTTCCTGCTCAACGAGGAGCAGGTGGAGGAGAAGCGCTGGGACTGCAGCTACTCCTGTGACCCACTCAACATCATTGACCTCATCGTGGACATCATGTTCATCGTGGACATTGTCATCAACTTCCGCACCACCTATGTCAACATCAACGACGAGGTGGTGAGCCACCCTGGCAAGATCGCCATTCATTACTTCAAGGGGTGGTTCCTCATTGACATGGTGGCTGCCATCCCCTTTGACCTGCTCATCTTCCGCTCTGGCTCTGATGAGGTAAGAGCAGAGAGTCTATCAGGACATGAGGGGACTCATGGCTGGACAGGGAGAGATGTATGAGAAAGAAAGGGATGTGGATGGTTTGACGTAAGTGGTGGATGGCTAAATCCATAGGGAGAGGGGTAGCTGGTCACAGGGTGAAGGGTGTCTTTACAGGCTTTTAAGCAGCTGGGACCTGGGAATTCATTTCTTAGGGTCAGACAGTCCCTACTCTAAGTGTTAAGAGTGGATCCACTCCCCTTGCTGAGGATGACCCAGCAAAGCAGGCAGGGGGTCAGTTTAAGGGCTGGCCCCACACTCCAGGGTGGGTGAATTTCGGGGTGCATTGCCAGCCAGACTCAAAATGTTGGCAATGGGATAACCCTGTAGTTACTGTACTGCCTGAAGGCTCCACACCTGGGAGTGGAGGGCAACTCTTCTGGGAGAAATGGCTGGCAAGGTGAGGACCCATCAGGAAACATAGGCTTGGCCTTGGCTGTTCTCACTTGCTCACCTCTAATCCCAGACCTTGTTGCCTTTATGGTCAGCAGAGGGAAACTGCCCTTCCCGTGCTGGGACTGATCTGACCTAGTTCAGAGATCACCTCCAGAACAAGGTGATTCACGCTCTAGGAATGCGTTTTTATCCTTCAAAGGAAGAACGGCTCAGCTGGTAATGTGCCTTTGGAACATGCCCTATTTATCCTTTGCTTGTCCCTGAGGTCTCTCACCTCTCCCCTGCAGACCACCACCCTCATTGGCCTCCTGAAGACGGCCCGGTTGCTGCGCCTGGTGCGCGTGGCCCGGAAGCTGGACCGGTACTCAGAGTATGGAGCAGCTGTGCTCTTCCTGCTCATGTGCACCTTTGCCCTCATTGCCCACTGGCTGGCCTGCATCTGGTACGCCATCGGCAATGTGGAGCGGCCCTACATGGAGCACAAGATTGGCTGGCTCGACAACCTGGGTGACCAGATCGGCAAGCGCTACAATGACAGTGACCTCTCCTCTGGCCCGTCCATCAAGGATAAGTACGTCACTGCCCTGTACTTCACCTTCAGCAGCCTCACCAGTGTGGGTTTTGGCAACGTCTCGCCCAACACCAACTCCGAGAAGATCTTCTCCATCTGCGTCATGCTCATTGGCTGTGAGTGCCTACGCACGTCCCACTGTCCCCATCCTTGCTTTGGAGGTTGGAGCATCTCCCTCTGCCTGTGCCTGTTCCACACAGACAAATAGATGGGGTGATAGAAATAATACATGTTTTCAGGTCCTGGTAGGATATGGGTTTTGGGAATCTGCTGGTTCCAGGTCCGATGTAGCTGGACATGCATCTCCCCATTTCCTGCTGAGTCTTGCCCTCTCATTTCAGCTTTGATGTATGCCAGTATCTTTGGCAATGTCTCAGCCATCATCCAGCGCCTCTACTCAGGCACAGCACGCTACCACACGCAGATGCTGCGGGTCAAGGAGTTCATCCGCTTCCACCAGATCCCCAACCCCCTGCGCCAGCGCCTGGAGGAGTATTTCCAGCACGCCTGGTCCTACACCAATGGCATCGACATGAACGCAGTGAGTATGGGCAGGCAGGCCCTGTGTCCTCACAGCTCTTTTTCCTGAACAACACAGCATCTAGACCTGGCTCCACTCAGACACTTCCATCCTTTTGATCAGGATAGAGGCAGGAGGCTGGAGGCTGACTCTATCCGTACGCCTCCTGCATTTCCACCTCCTGCATCCCTCTTTCTCCTTCTCTCCCTTTTCTGCCCATTGCTTTACATATACCCAGAGGTTTTCCAGGGTCATGAGCACATTTCTTGGCCAGAGAGCAGGTTCGGTGGGGAGCTCAGGGTTCCTATTGGCACTGAGCACTTTCAGGCTGGTGTCTGTTGGTGTCACAGGAGTGGAGCAGGTATCGATCCAGCTCTTCTCCACACCACCGGTTGCTAAGCAAAATGCATCCTGCTCTCACAGCAGGGAAAGGAGGGCATTTAAATAAACCTCGATCCATTTTAATTAGAGCCCAGAGAGGCAGCTGTTTGTTAGCAAAGAGGGGATCAATGGCAGAGCTGTGCTGGAGAGGCGCCGTGCCTCAGATCCTGGCAGGAGAGCTTGTGCTGACGGCGCCGTGGCTCCATAGGGATGAGGACATGGCTCAGCCGAGGTGTTCTGGGCTGGAAACTGGACTCACGACCCCAGGATTCAGTGCACAGACATGGTGGCTCAGGCAGCAGCAAGGCAGAGCAATGAGAAAGGATAAGGCAAGGAGAGACATGAGACCTCATATTCCTTGTCTCTTGGCCCTGGGCAAGTTATCAGCCCACTCATTCCCAGCTTATGCTCCTTCTCTTCCTTAAGATTTGATCCTGAGCAGCATCAGGACACAGATTTGGATGAATTCAGCATCTCCCTCTAGAGTTGCTGCTGCCGCGTGAAACAACTGGGCAGCACTTGGGGGTTTGCTGCTGGGCGAGCTTTGGGTTAAATGGCTCGGGTGGAGGAGATGCCCTGGGCTGGACATCAGTGGCAACAATGAGGAGCAGTGCTGTGGCACCCTACCAAGCACCCTAGAGCACAGGTGCTCTTGGCTTGGTACAAACCCAGGTCACAAATCCCCTGTGAGAGCTGAGCTTGTGGCTCAGCCATGCTGCTGCTCACACCAGCTCCTGCTGGGTGCTGCACAGACACAGCGTGATCTCATCAATCACCCCACAGCCTGATCAATTCGTCCACCCCTGATTTCCCAGTGGGGAAACACTCCTTTCTAGCATGGAAGATCATGATGAAGCCAGGAACAAGTCGTGCTCACCAGCCCCAGCATGGCTGTTCCAGATTTAGCCACCAGCAGGATGTGAGCAAAGAGGACAGCAAGGAGGACCCCAGGGCCATATGCTGCTCTCCAAAAAAACCCAAACCCAGGTGGTTTTCACCTTGGCACCATGAGTCATTGGTGGCAGCAGCTTTCTCCATATTGTGAGTTTTACCTTGATGTCACCTTCAGATTCAGCTTTTGTTCAACATGAGGTATTTGCACAGGTATATTTAGCTGTCAGTGCACACAACTGTCCTGTGCTGCTGCTTCTTGGCATTCAGGCAAGTGCTGTTTAATTAAGGTTTTTGTGCTCTTTGTGCCAGTTTCTGCTCTCATTCATCCAAGATTACTGGGTGTAAAGAGGAAAAAGGGTGGGTATAAATAGATTGAACTGGTTACTTTTATTTATTGCTTGGGAGTGCTGTTGTCCCCAGCCACAAGCAGTAAAAGCCAGCAACAGGCAGGCAGGGATCCATCAAGGGAAGATCAAAAGATAATTGAAATCACAGAATCACAGAATGGTTTGAGGTTGGAATAGACCTCAAACTGTTCCACTCCCTGCTATGGACAAGAACATCTTCCACTAGACCAGGTTGCTCCAAGCCCCATCCAGTCTGGCCTTGAACACTTCCAGGGATGGGGAAATGTCCCCGCCTTTGGCTTTCTGGGTGCATGGTCCCCCCATTTGGCCCCATTGTTTCATGCTGAGTGTCACACAAGCTCTCCGTTCTGTCACAGCATTCCCTCCCAGGGACAGTGACATGATGGCATCTCTCCCTGGCTCTCCACAGGTGCTGAAGGGCTTCCCCGACTGCCTGCAAGCCGACATCTGCCTGCACCTGAACCGCACGCTGCTGCAGAACTGCAAAGCCTTCCGGGGAGCCAGCAAAGGCTGCCTGCGTGCCCTGGCCATGAAGTTCAAGACGACTCATGCACCACCTGGAGACACCCTGGTGCACTACGGAGATGTCCTCACCACGCTCTACTTCATCTCCCGGGGTTCCATTGAGATCCTCCGGGAAGACATTGTGGTGGCCATCTTAGGTGAAAAAGTCCTTCCTTCTGCAAGGGGTGAGGGGCAAAGGGTAATGGGCAGTGAGCTGGTGGACGAAGGGTGGCAGGTGAGGGTAAAGAACTTCCTCGCATATAGGGGAAGGAAAGGTTGTTCCTCAGCATCTGATGGGTCCCCATGCCAGTGGACAGGGAAAGGAGGATCCCTGGAAGATGCCAGGGAGAAGCCATGAAGCCGCAAGGGAATGAGGAGAGCAGGGCGTCACCAGCCATCACTGATGACCCAGTGCCCTGGCTTGGTGTCACCATCAGTGATGGCTTTCTCAGTGTCATCCCCAGCACACACAGTCAGGGTCGGGCTGGCTGGGCATCCCCTTGTTCATGAGCCCCAAAGTAAGGGGTGCTGGACCAGAGTATATGGAGCAGTAGTGGGTGCCCACCTCTCCATGATGAGCTGTCTCTTGACACAGGGAAGAACGACATCTTCGGGGAGCCCATCAGCCTCTATGCCCGCCCAGGGAAGTCCAATGCCGACGTGAGGGCCCTGACCTACTGTGACTTGCACAAGATCCAGCGTGAGGACCTGCTGGAGGTCTTGGACATGTACCCAGCCTTCTCTGACAACTTCTGGAGCAACTTAGAGATCACCTTCAACCTACGAGATGTGAGTGCCAGGGCTGCCCCAGGGAGCGGTGCGGTCAATGCTTAAATTCGGCAAGTGGGAGGGCTGAAGCAATGTGGCAACAGCCACATTTCCCAGGGCATTCTCTAGGGAGTTACGATTCCTCCACAGCAGGACACGTCTGCTGTGTATTTCTGAGATCTTTGGAAAAGCTGGCACAACAAGCCATGCCAGTGGTACTCTGCTCTGCAGCACTTGTAAATTATTATTAGGGCTGCTCCTGCCTGGGCAAATGGGTTGCACAAGTTTTGAGGCTGCTAAAAGAAATGAGCAGAAATATTCTCACGCTTCATTGAATTGGGTATCAGCTTCCTCTGAAAATTCCTTTTTAAATAATCAGGTTTGCAATCCCTGAAAGGCTTGAAGCATTTTTGCCAGTGCTGTTTGACTCTTTTATAGTGTGTGACTGAACTTCGTCCTTTCCTGACATTTTTTTTGAGAGACCTGAAATAGAGATAAAAAAAAGGCAAATTCCCTCTATGTCCTGTCCCACTCTGGGATGTCCTGCAATTTCTCAGGGTGCTCCTTCCCTCCCCATGGCATGACACCCTTACCTCAGTCTCAGAGCAGCAAGGACGGCCTCAGGAATCCCTTGAGCTCTGAACCAGTCCAGGAGGCACTGGGTGGGACAGGGCAGCGGTGAAGAGACAGAGGTAGCTTCACCTTCGGAGGACATGGGAAGGGCTGTATGGACGGGACATGGCACCCCTTCCCTGGTGACCAGCCCCTCTCATTCCTCAGGCAGACAGTGTTCCCCGCTCACCCCTCAGCGAGGAGTATGACTGCTCCTACCGCCCGGCTCGCCGACACAAGCACTCCATTTGCCAGCCCAGCAAACCCGGTGAGTCCTACTGCACTGGCAGAGCCCAGCCTGCAGGGAGGGAGAGGGGGATCATTATTAATTACTACCCTGGCAAGTGCCCCAAAGCAGAGGTTAACGGTGCCTCTGCCCCTGCAAACCATCCTGCAGGCTTCCCTCCCTCCCCTTGGGGTGCCCCAGCCCTAAAGGCATGCTGAGGGAATGGGGGCTGTTTTTTTCAAGTGTAGTACTCCCCAAACTGACCTGTGCTGTCCCACAGACCCAGACACGGGCATCTCTGATGCAGAGCAGTATCACACCTACTCCGAGCTCACCAACCCGCAGGACCCACCGAGTAAGGACCAGTGGGATGACCTGGGCAGCAGCACCTCTCCCTGCTCCCAGGCCAGTGACGATGAGGCCAAGACCGGCAGCCCTGTGAAAGCTGAGCCCTTCCCCACACCCCAAAAGGATGACTTTGCTCTGCCCTCGCTCAGCCTCATCACCACCAGCGCTGGCAACACGGAGGTCAGCAAGCAGGCGGCGGAGAGCAGCCAGTCCTACACAGGTACCCAGTGCAGCAGGTAGAGCTGGCAGGAGGGTGCTGAGAGATGCTTGGGTATGGTGGCCTTATCTTGGAGTAGGACCAAGCTGCTCATGTGCATTTGAGGGGAGCCACGCTCCAAGGCCAAGGGTGTTAGCTGTCTTTTGTCCCCAGCTGGAACTGCTATGTCCCTCCTGTGCCACTCCATGTATGTCAGGTGACAGAATCTGAAGCACCTCCATCCCAGTGAGGCTGGAGGATACAAGACAGCAGTGCTGAGATGTCTCCTCTCCTTCCAGCCACTCCCCTGGATATTCCCAGCATGTTCACCTTCTGGGAAGATCGGCAGCCGACCCACCCTGCAGAGCCTTTGCAGCACATCTCGCTGGTGCACAGCTCACAGGATGTGCCCCTGCACAGTGACTACAGGCCAGGGCAGATCGAGTCCAGGCTGGAGCTCCTGCAGGCCCAGCTCAGCAGGTGGGCAGGGTTGGAGAGGACCTGGGGGAATCTGGGCCATCGCCTTCTGCTTTCTAGAGGAGGCTGCAGTGGGCTCTGTGTGCAGCAATGCCACATCCTGATCCCTGGGACACTGCATTCCTGAGGAGGGGGTGGGAGTGCTTTGCAAATGCAGCAGCTTCTCAAAGGGCAAGTCCTGACCCTGACTGCAGCCCAGCCCCTCATTTGCTGCTGTGCCACCACCCTTGGCATCTGTCACCATCCCCAGGATCTCCCACAGTGCCACCTGAGATCTGTCATTTCACCATGGCTTCCAAACTCAATGCAACTGCAGATATTAAACCGTCCACAGGCATGATTGGAGCCCTTTGCAGGTCCCCTCCTCCTGCTGCAAAGACCTACAAGCATCTTCTTGTTTGAGCAAATGAGCCTTGTGACCATCATTGCCCTCTAAATAAGAAAAAACACATGATTTTTCAAACTGACAGAGAGTAGTTTTACTTTGGATACTAGGAAAAAAATCCTTCCCTGTGAGGGTGGTGAGCCCTGGCACAGGTTGCCCAGAGCAGCTGTGGCTGCTCCATCCCTGAAGTGTTCCAGGCCAGGTTGGACAGAACTTGCAGCAATCTGCTCTAATGGAAGGTGTCCCTGCAGCTGGGACATCCCCCTGGCTGGAGAGGGAACTGGATGAGCTTTAAGATCTCTTTCAACCCCAACTATTCCGTGATTTTTGCAGGAGAAGGAAGAGCCCACACAGGAGGTGCAGGTTTAAGGTCCCCAGGCAGCACCCACATAAGGGGCTGGCACTGTGAGCTCTGCTGCCCTTGTTGAGCTCATTTCACCACACACTTGCGTTTAGGTGTCTCTCCAGTGCACCATCCAAGCACGGGGATGCTCATTCTGTAAGGGATGCTGTGGCTGTGTCCTGCAAGCAGGGCTGTGCCCACTCCTGCCAGAGCTGTTCACTTCAGTCAAGGACAAGGCAGAAGGAAGAGACTTCGACTTTTCTGTTTCCTTCTGTTCCTGAGTTAAATACGGTTGGCACTAACCTGCCTTGCTCCATCTGTCAGCACAGGCAGCTGGCCTGGAGAATTGATCCAGATTAAAACTAACCATTGCAATTTTTTCCCCCCTCCAGGGTAATTTTAGCTTTTTTCAAATCCCCGCTCCAGATCCCAGTTTGGCTCCACATAAAATTGGGCAGAGGATGATTGAGTGTGGCAGGAGAGAGATGGCAGGATTGATCTCTCTCTGGCAGTGCTGGTTTGAAGCTCTCTAAAAGCCTCAACAAGCAGCAGGCAAAGCATCACTGCCCTGGGGCAGCGGGATCAGCACCTCCTCCCAGTGCCTCCCCTGCCCAGCTGCGGGATGCAAAAGGGTTCTCTGCGCTAACACCGGGCTGCTCTGTCCCCAGGCTGGAGTCCAGGATGTCGTCAGATATTAATATAATCCTCCAGCTCCTGCAGCGCCAGCTGTCCCAAGTGCCGCCTGCGTACAGCCCCATCTCGCCAACCTCCCACAGCCTGGCCATGTACGGCACCGTCCCCCGGAGCCTGGAGCCGCTCGCCCCCTGTGCACCTCTGCAGGACCAGGAACTACCGACCCAGGAGCAGGTAAGGTCACCCCTCCTGGCTCAGCACCCGCCAAGGTCCTTCTGCCCCAATCCTGGGTTTTCTCCAGGCAAGGCACAGCCAAACACTCATGGGTCCTTGCTGGAGTCTGGAATATTACAGTCCTAGCAAAGCCACAAGGTCTTAATTTGGACCAGTGCGTCACTGGTTTGGGGACGCTGGTTTTGGGCATGCTGCCATCCCCAGCACTGCCAGGCTGCCCCATCAGTAGGGAAGGAAGTGGGTTCCTCTGCTCTGCGGCTTCCTCAAGTGAAAAATAACATGTTGGGGCTTGGAGCTTGATGACACTCCAAGGCTGATGAGGAGAGAATGTGGCTACTTTTTTTGCTTTTACCATAACCCATGTGATTCTTCATTTCCCACTAGAGCCCGAGCTACACAGAGGTAGAAAAGTTCCACTTGAAATCCAAGGACTCCTTGTCAAGCGGGATGCAGCTGTCTGTGTCATCTGACAAAACCATGACCGTCTACTCCGAGCAGAAGCACCACTCCCCACCTCTCCTGAATCCAGAGCCTCCCCACCAAAGGGCACCAAATACCCAGGGACTCTTGCGGGGTTCTCGTTTCCCTTCCCTTCCTGAGCACTTGGAGGCATCTTCCGAGCACCAGGACATTCAGAGACACCTCTCCGACCCTGTGCTTCCTGGAAGTTAGAGACATGGGGGCTGTGGGGCAAGTCAAGAGGAACCTCAACTGCAAGCCCAGTCAGTTGATGTTGATTTTGACTGCAAGGATAAGACATTGGACAATGCCATTGGCTCAGGGGTATAATTTGTAGCTATCTTCTGCCACCGTGACAGGAAACATAGAGTGGCTGGCTTCCAACGTCAACGTTTTCCAGAATTTCCCATAGAGTAGAATTCATTTGCACATTAGAGTGAACCTAGAACAGTTCTTAGCCACCATCGAGCTGGTTAGGCCACATGGTTCCCACCACCTCCTCCTTGCCAAGGCTTCCGAGAGAGAGAGCCAAGCAGGAGAGCAAATCCACAGCTCTGGGCTGCAAGGCCACTGTGCTGAAAAACTCTGGAGCAGGGACCACAGTGTTGGTACAAGGCTCAGCCCCTGAGAGCCTGCAGGTATTACGGAAAGGGTGGTCACCTGAGGAGGAGTGGGAGACCTCCATGGTGTGGTACAGGGGCAACTGCAGCTGGCAAGCCCAGGACAAAGACGGAGGACAGAAGCTTTTCCTATTTGATTGCCACTGAGAAGTGAAGGGCCAACAGCCCCTGCCACCTCAGCCCGCTTCAGCACGAGTCCCAGGGCACTGACTTCTCCAGCAAGGTTGATCACACCTTGCCCCAATACACATCCCACAACTCCCCAGGTAAATCCGGCTCGTCACTGGCCTGGGCATAAAGCACAAAATTCAAAAGCACAATCCCATAAAGCTGAAAAGCCCCAGACACCCCGTGTCCAGTCCTCCCTCACAGCTTCTCTCTTTTGATAAAGGTTCAATAGGTGCTTCCTCCTGCCCACCCTTCTCCTGGCAGGCTCCGCAGCATTCCCGTAGGAGAAGCCCACGTAGCACTGCTGCCTCGCCGCTCGGGTAGATGCTGTGATAGTCCTAGGCCGCCAGCTCAAGTAATGTATCAAGCTCCTTTTGAGAGTAGTCAAACTGTCAGCATCTTTCTCTGGAGTTTTAGTGTACACTTTGCTAATAAAGATGGTTTTGGCACCTAATGTGAAGTACAGCTGTGTTCGTTGGGAACATCCATGAATTCACCCTGGGGATCTTCACCCCAAAAAGGCTGTGGTCAAACCCCGGCTGCTTCATCCAAGGAGTGTGGGGCTGACCAAGCCCGTGTGCAGCCAGGCCAAGGGTGCAGCCTGCGGGGGCTTTGCCAAGCAGTCCCTTCCCGAAAGGACGCACTTGAGGCTCTGCAGTGTTTTGGAAAAGCCCTTCTACAAGCCCAGGCAGCTGCGTATGAGAAATGATCTCACAAACACAACTCGGGCAGAGCTCAGGCCAAGAGTCCTTGCAGTGAGCGGGACTTGAAAGAGCACAGCGCTGCCAAAGCGCCCGTGCATCCCCGCTGAGCGGACACGGGGGCTGGGCTGGAGCCGGGAGCACGCACCACCGAGCGCAGCCGCTGCCCGGAGCCCCAGCACGGGAGCCAGTCACCCTCCAGCGGGATGCCGGACACAGCAAGGAGCGCTCTAGGGAGCCAGCTGCACCCCTTCCCCCAGTAAGGCGCTGAGCACTCCCCAGTGCGGCTTCCAAAAATAAACACCATAATTAACCCGTTAATTAGAGACAAGCCCGGCCCATCCGCCACTCGGCCGAGGCGGGATTAGAACCGGAAGCACCCCCATGCGCCCGAAGTGTCCCCACCCGCCTCGGCCTGCCGTGACTGACATCGCTTCCAGCCAATCGAGCACCGGTAAGAGCTCAAGGTCCCGCCTCCAGTCACTGCGACCCCAGGTAGCCAATAGGAGTAACTGCGCCCTGCTGGGCGGGGCCGAGCGCAGCCCGAGGTTACCCCGGAGCGCGAGCGGCCGTTCGGAGTGAAGGGCAGAACGAGCAATAGGAAAGCGAAGCGGGCCGAGCGCACAGACAGAGTAACCAACAGACAGCCGGCGCTCTAAATGACAGCCACGGCACCCAACCCGCGCGCACTGGGCGGGGCCTCCCGCGTGGCTTCCGTTCCCGTTGTGTGAGAGGCCGAGTCCCAAACGGCCTCAGCGCCGCTGCCGCCGCCGGGACTGGGCTGGGACCGGGGGCCGAGCCGGGGCCTCCCCGTTCCCCGCCCCCCGCCGCCGCCCCGGGGCCCGAGCCGAACCTCCCTCACCGCCCCGAGAGCCGAGCTGAGCCTTCCCCGCTCGCCGACACACAGGGGCCCGTGCCGTGCCTCCTCCGCTCCCCGTCCCGGGGGCCGCGCTGAGCCTCCCCCCCGGCCCGCTTCGCCTCCCCGCCGCAGGCTCCCTGGGCCAGCTCCGCGGCCCCCCCGGCCCAGCCATGTCGCTGCACGGGAAGCGGAAGGAGATCTATAAATATGAGGCGCCCTGGACCGTGTACGCCATGAACTGGAGCGTCCGGCCCGACAAGCGGTTCCGCCTGGCGCTGGGGAGCTTCGTAGAGGAGTACAACAACAAGGTGGGCAGCGGTGGGCACAGGGACTGGGGCAGAACTCATCCTGGGCTTGGGGTGGGCGAGGGGCGCCTGCCTGCCTGTCCCGGACGCCCGGAGCTGTGCAAAGCCATCAGGTGCCCCCCCCGTTCTAGGCTGCTCTCCTAGCGAGCCCGGAGGTGAGGAGAAGAGCCCTGCGTGCTATCTAACCTCTATCCTGGTTTTGGGATACCGCTGCTGCAGGGCTTCTCGTGACCTCTGAGCTTTGGAAAAAACGATTGTGTTGACTTCAGTCACGTAAGCACCACGTGCCGTGAGTTCTCCATGGGGTAAAGAGCTGGAAACCAAAGGTATGAGTGTGAGTCTTGATGCTGCTGTTATAGAAATAAAACAAATGCCCCCGGCTTGAGCATATCTGGCTTGTTGGTCAATGCAAAACAAAGTTCGTGGCCAGAGCTGAAGTTTGTACATATATATGCATATAGATATAAAGAAGTTCCACTTCAATATGAGTAAGAACTTCTTTCCATGGAGGGTGGCAGAGCAGTGTAACAGGCTGGTCAAGCAACTTGTGGAGTCTCCCTTTCTGGTGACATTCCAAACCCACCTGGACATGTTCCTGTGTCACCTACTCCAGGTGACCCTGCCTGGAAAGGGGGATTGGACTGGATGATCTCGAGAGTTCCCTTCCAACCCTAGCAATTCTGTGAAATACAGGGTGTCTGAGACTGTGTTGGAAATGTGCTGTTCTCATTGTACTTTCTTGCTGTGGAGGACTTCTGTATGATAACTTTTTTCATAAGTATATAAACCACTCTCAGTGATTCCTCAGTACTTTTCCCTGAGAAAAAAAGTGTAATGAGGCATGAGATTGTATCTTCAGTGTTTCCCTGCAGAGTGTAAGTGAAGAATGTCGTACTGGTAATAGAGACTATGTGTTCATCTCAGAACACACGTGCAGTCGCTTCTGAACAGCCTTCAAGGTGCTGGTCTGGTATAATGAATTACATAGAAATAGAAGAGAGATGAGGAGATGAATGAAGTTATAGAGCATCCTGAAATTTCTGTGAAACTGAAACTGTTTGCCAGTAGAGCATGGTTTATAGCATATAGTTTTATAGCCTTGTCAAGGTGTTTAATGGAGATTGTGGAAAATACTGTCAGAAAGTTGGTGTTGGGGATGGGGCTCTGTGCAAGGGTGTGACATCTCTTAGAGTGGTTAGATCACTGCCATTGCAGCAGTCCTAGACATGGGCTTTGCTGAGCGCGTTGTAGTTCAGCCAACTGTGTGAGAGTTGTCTCCTTTTCCTGGAGAGTGTTGTGCTTCTGGGAATGCTGCTGGGGACAGGCAGGGCCTGAGCTTGAAAACTTCCAATTTGTTTCAAGACCGACTTGGAAACATTTCTGTAGTCTGTACTCTGAGAAGGTAAAATAGCAAATCTGCTAGCTGTTGTTGTTTAGAGGTGGCACAGTTGGTTAATAATGGGCTATACATTTATGTTGCCTATACCTCTTTAATTCTGGAGCATTCCCTGGGGTTGCTCTCCATTACAGTATGGTCAGATCTGTTTCTAGTTCAAGCTTCCAGTGTAAAGCCACTGAGCCAACTCTTCTCTTCTATGCTTTACACTCAGAGTTGTTGCAGACGGAAATCATGTAGGACTATGTAAATTACCACAGTCTGTAAATATTACCCAGGGCTTCTCTTGACCTGTGAGCTCCAGGAATAACGATTCTGTCAACTTCAGTCCATGTAAGCACCACATGCTATGAGATCTGTGTGGCGTAAAGAGCTGGAAACTAATTGTGTGAGAATGAGAAAAGTCTGGATGATACTGCTGCTATAGAAATAAAGGTGATGTTTGATTAAAAATTAAACCTGCACAATCAATGCAGTGAAATGTAACCTTAATTTGCTGAAGATGTTTCTGATATTTCAGAGTGATTTTTTTTCTATTTTTGTTTTCTTGTTTGGTGCTTTTTGTAGGAATATGGTTAACAGAGAGCTGTCTTGGCTAATTTCAAGTGTTGCTATTGCTTAGAGTATTGATGTTTTCTCCTTTACTTTGGGGACCAGAATACTCTTGGGAGTGGTGTTTTGTCTGTGCTGTTTTAATGGTGCCTTACTGTGACTCTCTCAGCTGTGCTGAGCCCTTTAGAGGGTGGTGAAACATTTGGGGCATAGTTCCATGCTTCAAATTGGATACTCTTGGACAGGTTCTGTAAAACTGTGCTACCTGCACACTAGTTGTAAACTCTTCCAGTTCCTGTCCCTGTACGTAGTGTAACCAAAGGAACAAAGAGAATAAACAGAAGCTGCCAATAAATATTGATATTGTCCAGCAAAGGGCCTGGAGCAGTGGGGTTTGTAGCCTGATTTCTGAAATTAACAGAAATGTAAGATTTTTTACAGAGTATGTGTGAAGTTTTGTCCTTCTGCATATAATTTGTCCTTCATGGTTGAGATGTTTTATATTGCAGCTTCTGTCATCAAAACATGCTTACAGGTACAGTTGGCACTAATTAAAAGAATAATGAAAACTGATTTTCATTTTGGCTTTCTCTTTGCTCTCTCTTCTTCAGA